AACCTGTGACTCAAATGGGCTTCTCTGTAATTTTTTTCTTCCGAGTATGCACTGCAGGAGCTTCCATTTTAACATGTTTTATGTACATTTTTGGTGTCCAATTGCCATTTGTTTGTTTGTTTGATTGATTGTTTCAATTTAATATGTTGCAGCTCTACTCTGGGTGGTTCAAATAAAATACAGAATCAAACAGTTAGTATGATAAAACCATGATCAATCCAACCATATAAAAACAGAGGGTGAAAGAACATTAATAAACCTGCATGAAACAGAAAAAAATAACATAGATAACAAAGAACTGGGCAGAGTATCCCATTTCCCTGAGGAGCCATGTCTTCTGTTTCCTCTTAAATGTTGTCAGCGAGGAGGCCAGGCAAAGCTTCCGCAGGAGCTGATTCCACAAAGATGGAGTCACTGTGAAGAAGGTTCTACCGGTCGTAGAAGATCTATGGGCCTCCCTCACGGTGGCTACCTGGAGGAGCCTTGTCTGCGATGACCTGTTGGGTCAGGCCATTGACATTCAGGCAGGACGCTCCTACAAGTAACATGGGCCTAATCATGGGCCTAATCTGCACATTTTTGAAATAAAACACATTTCATTTCATGATATAGCTGCCATTTCCTCTTGGGGGCTTGGCTCAAGACCGTTGATACATTTTCTCCTCTGCCACTGCTTAACCTATACTTAAGTACCCATGACAAGTTTTCCAATTAAAACAATCTATGGCATGCACATTGCAGGGTTTTTTTTTCCCCTCAAACCTGGCCAGTTTGGTAACATTAGGCTGTGGGTGAATTAGAAAAAGGCACCCAAAGGAGGGGCATTATGGGCACCACTCCCAACCTGTGAGCTTCTAGCTTCACAGATGCATCTGGATGCCATTTCTGGAGACAGAGCGTTACACTGAATAGACCTTGATCTAAGTGCTCTTCATCTGACTGCTAAACAACAGCTTTCATTAAAAATGAAGGTCTAAGCACAATATCAATTCTATTAATTGCTATTCCCAACTTGATTAGACCCATGGAATCAATAGGAAACATTAACTTACCATTCAGCAATTAAAAAAATTTGAAGTAGTCAGGTTAGGGATTTAGGACACCGAAATTAAGGGAGTTTAAGCAAATTGTGACTAACAAGCACTATTCATTTCAATGGATCTACTTCTGTACAGGACTAACATTGAATTTAGTCATAGTGTCAAGCCCTTTCTCTAGTCTTCAGAATTTTGCAGTATAAGTAGCCATTGAATATTGTGTCCAGTTGCTAAGAAAAAGCCAAGTCTGTTCCCATCCTCTAATGAAGCATTAGCAAATGTATGCAGAAACTGTAGTATAACTAACAAGCAATAAATGCTTATTTTGCAATTGATGGTGATGATCCACTTCCATGCTATGTAGCATATCAGGCAGCTCTTTTCAATTGTATACAGTTAAATGCTGTTCCATGAACATTTAATACAACATAATTCTGAACATATTAGGCTCCCTCTCTGGATATTCTGGTTGTTGTGCACCCCCTCCCATCCTTCCTTCTGGGGTACTATTCATTCCCCAAAATGTGTGGCTACAGGCCTTCTTTATGACCTTTTGTCTGCCAGCTCATTGACAGTGACCCAAGGTCAGCTCAGTTTATTGCATATGAGATGGTGCTTACTCATTGTTTTTAAAAAGCTGCATTACTCCAGCTACAGGAAAACAGATTATGTCCCAAGGACAAATGTTTTTATTTATGTGTGGAATCAGCTAGTAAGTTCCAGTAGTAGAGCTGTAACAGCACGGTGCTTTTAAAAAAAAATCATCATGGGAGATAAAATGGATTTCTTGTACAGAAGCAAATGTAATAACATATGGTTGAGCACCAATTAGTGTATTTGTGAGAAATAAATGCAGTGCATCAAAAAAGCAGTTTACTCCATGACCAAGTTGATGATACTTTGTTTTTTGGTGCAGTTGCATATTTGTGTTAGGTTTATACAGTAAACTAGTGAAACTAGCCTGTATGTTCCCATGGGAATCAGGACAACAAGAAGTAGGCAGGACAGAAGAAAGTGTATTATCCTTCTTCTTCTCCTGAACACATAGAAAGTTCAATCACACAAAAGTTTTCTTGGGAGTGTGCCCCATTGAACTCAAGAGTTCTTCCTTTTTAATAGGTTTTTGTAACATCTCTTCCTCTGAAACTCAGTTCACCCATATGACTAGAAATAGTTCAGCTATGAGTGGAATCTGGAGGAAGACTATGTTCAGACATTGCTTCCTCCACAACTTTTATGTAGAATGGCATACCTGAAGTTTACATGCTTCCTCTCTGCCACTCCCCGGTCTCCTGCCAGCACAGGAAATAGTTGGTCTCCTTAGTTTGGAGAGTCCACACTAGAATAATATGAGAGCTGTCAGTTTGATCCAAAGTTGGCTTCAGAGCTGGCTGAGAACTAAAGGGTCAATTCCATTAGTATAGGGAACTAGGCCCTAACAGAGCCCTTCTACAGAGTGATAAGGATGATGTTCCCCCAATGTCCAGATATTGTTGCGGATGAGCTGATAAAACATGGACTGAACAATATTACTTTTAGATGGATTTGTAATTCATGGGCTGTACCTAATGAATACTCATCAATGTGAGTGACAATAGAAGTCACAAATGTTGTGCTACAGATTTCTCTGGTGAGCCATGTTTTGTTCAAGGTATTTAGAAATGACATGGATGTGGTAGTAGTAGGGATGTTCATCAGTAGGCACAGGAGTACCTAAGGTCCTGTAGTCAAAAAATCCAAGTCTGCAAGGAATTAGGGGACTAGTAGTCTCTGTACTCATTAGACTTTGCAAAGGGTGCTTGAGGGGATTCTGGTGAAAGCTGTGGTCTGTAGGAAAGAAAGAAAGAAAGAAAGAAAGAAAGAAAGAAAGAAAGAAAGAAAGAAAGAAAGAAAGAAAGAAAGAAAGAAAGAAAGAAAGAAAGAAAGAAAGAAAGAAAGAAAGAAGGGATTCAAAGCCTCCTTGTCAAATATGTGGATTAGAGTAAACCGGAGGAAATAGCTAGTACAATGTGATCTTAACAAATTGCAGATCCTGGCCAAAAGAAATAATATAAGTTTCAGCACAGAAAAAAAATTTAAACTTCTACAGGAAAAATCAGATGGATGGATATGATGGATGAGTGCTGCCTTAGCGGCAGTATGCTTTTAAAGGATCTTTGGGCATTAGTAGGCCACAGCCTAAACATGAGTCAACAATATGATCCGGGCAGCAAAACAGGTGAAGGCAATTGTACTGTAGGATGCATCAACAAAAGTATAGCATCCAGATCAAGGGAACTGTACTCTGCTTTGTCTGTAATTTAAGAAGGATGTCAAAAAGATAGAACAGAAAAAAGGGTCTGGAGATGAAGCTCTGTGAGGAACAATTGAGGGAACTAAGTATGTTTAGCCTGGAAAAGAGAATGCGAGTAGTGATATGATGGCAATAAATATCTGAAGAGTTGTCACGAGTTTGTTTTCTAGGGCTCCAGAAGATAGGACCGGAATGAATTACAAATCTCTAGAAAAGAAATGTTGATGACAAATCAGGAAGAACTTCCTGGCTGTAAGGGTTGTTCGGTAGCAAAATGGTGGTAGACTCTTCTTTGTTTTTTTTTTTGTTTTTTTTAAAGTACGGAAAGCCATCTGTAAGGGATGCTTTAGCTGTGAATTTCCTGCTTCAGCAAGCAGTTAGAGAGAATAACCCTCAGGTCCTTTCCACTCTATGGCCCTATGATTTTCTAAACATGGATTTTGATGGTGCTTGGCATACGCATGAACTGAGTCTTTGTTTTTAATAAAGGGCCAAGGGTTGCTATAGCAGTAATACTGACTGTTAATGTTTGATACTGCATTAATCCTGAGTAAAAAAATCCTGATTGTGACACTTTTGAAAGGCTAAGAAAACATTTAATATTGACATGGGGAAAGTGCTGTTGTTCAATTTTCTCAGAAAAGCTTTGCACATGAAATTGCATATTTTTAAGCTCCTTCATATCAGAATGCTAACCACGAACCAAGAAGGCAAGGCAGGTGATGAGAAAGAGAAGTGGGCAAGGACGATTAAAGAGATCATAATACTTTTTGTGAGTGATTTTTTTTCCAATGGACATTGTGTCCCTTCGGTCCCCTCACTATGCAAGGAAAGGCTTCTGTCCAAGACCTTTTAGAGTGGTGGGTAGACAACTGCCAACGTGTATCATAGCAACCAGATTTATTAACTAATGCATTATGGCAAGGACTGTGTTCGCATCCTCTTTTGAACAGGGGAATCAAAACTGGAGGTTGGGGGGGGAAGGAAGGGAAGCCAGGAAGTGCCTCGTGAAAATGAGGATCTCATTCAGGCAGTGTTAGTTCACTGCAAAGAACGAATGATTTTCTAAAGGAATTTTGGACAAAGTGGTAAGCACCAACTGAGACAGAAATGGCTTCTTCTGTTACTGAGCATTGGTTGATGAACCAGAAAACCTGTGTATCTTGCAAAAGCAGAAGAGAACAGAGACTGCCAGAGTGTCTGGAGCCAATATACAATTTTGTGGAGCAACTTTTACCTTTTCAATTATTTCGAAGATCCTTTGGGAGTGAACTTTACTACAGGCTATTAGTCCAGTGTGTTAAACTGAGGAATTGGTTTTTTTTTTTTAAAGACAATACAAAGGAGGGCTAAAGCAAAACCCAATGCTAGATTTTAACTGCTGCAATGTGCAAACAATACTGACACTCTGATCCTGCAAATCCTTTTCAGCTGCAGCATACACATTATGGCAAATGCCCCCTAGGTTCAGGTGCTGTCTCAACCCTGGCAAAAGGGGGATTGGCATCCACCAAAGAAATCCTCTGAAATGTAGAATTTACACAGACATGAAAAATGAAACGTAGACAAAAAGCTATGCTAAGCAAAAGTATTGTATCAAATTTATGTAAATCAAGTAGATTTTTTTTTTTGGCTTATTTGTACTTTTTTCTCTCTCTCATTTTCCATAGCGATATTTTCAGCTGCTAATTGCGGAGGAAAGAGAGCACCCTGTTATCTGGCCAGCAGAACTGTATCCAGCTCCTTTTTTGGATTTTGAGATTCCACCAAGCATTAGATGAAATTAAGCAAATGAAAGCCTAGCAAGAAATGTGCATGCCAACAATGCAGAAAGTTAAGATTCTCAGGATACTGAATTTGATGTGCATCAGTTTATTTGTGTGGCTCTGCAATGCAGATGAGCAGCAAGGAACTATATCCTAATGAATCATCACGTACAGAGCTAAAAAATAAATAAATGAAAAGTTCCAGAAAACCCATTGTTATTACCTATTTGAAAAACAACAACAAGGCATTGAAAATATTGAACAATGGATAGTGAACAATTTGTAACTGTGGCCTTGTTGCAGAATGATAAATGACAATCTAGGAAGAAACATCATTGCTTGGGTAGGAGTGGTATCTCAATGGCAGAGCATATTCTTTACATGCAGAATGTTCAATTGTGTCACCTCTGGGGAGGGGAGGTGGGAAGGCATTGCTTGATAAAACTGTACATGATGGACCAAGGGCCTGATTCAGTAGAAGGCAGCTTTCTATATTACAAATCATTTGCAAAGCCCAACTGATTTAAATCTCACTGAAATTAATCTGCTCCAAGCCACCTACGTACGTGGTTTTAGGCATGATTTCTGTGCAAAACCCAGGTTCTTGATGGAACTCCAGCTTTTATAAGTTATGTTTATATTGTTGCTTATGCAAAAATATAATATCCAGCTTATTAAACTCAGCTGTTTTATCATAACTTGTTTGTCTCAGTACTGTATAATATTGTGATTTTGTTTTCTAAAACTACAGGTGACTGGAATTTATAATAAGGCAGAAAAGATGTGAACAATCCATAAAATAGCCAACCGGTAAAAACTGACCTTTGATATTTGATTATGCCTCCAAATATAATCTATTGATGCCAGTTTAAGGCATCCAGATATGATTTGATGAAAAAGGAGGGGGGATTAATATTCAAATGAATAAATAATAAATATCTCGTGTGGATAACTTGGCATTGGATTACACATTTGTATCCCTCAGTTTCAGCCTCAAAATGGCCTAATTTAAGCCACATGTTTGATTGTTGCTTATGAACATTATCATGCAGGAAGTAATTGGGGTGTTGTCCATGTAATTGTTTCTCAAGTCATGCATCTCTGCATTGTGGGATTTTCAAATAATTTAGGTTGGTGCTCAGTTGCAAGTCGTGATACTGTTGTCCTTTATTATTTTCCACTGTCACCTGCTGAAATGGAACTGTGCTCACATGGAAAAAGTGTTGAAGTCTCACTACATGACCCATATAAAGATTCTTGAGCTCAACAAACCCATGCTGCGTGGCCAATAAAGGCACCTTGTACACTACTTTGGATGACGGCACCAGTGTTTTGATGGGAGGACTCAGATTTTCCTGGTTAAATTTTCAAGATTACTGCATTCCCAATCCACACTATGTCACCACTGGAGTAGCCCAGGTCTTCATATCAGTATTATCAGAATGCGGGTGTGCTCTGATGATATTTTGTCAGCATGGCAAAATAAGATCCCACAAGGTAAGTCTAAAAGTCTAACAGTACAAACAAAAACTTCTAACTTTAAAACCAGGCTTCAGATCAGCACCAGATTTGGCGCAGTGGGAGAGGAAAGACTGCTCCTGCTCCATGCAAAATCTGGTGATGTTTTACCCAAAGTTTTTAAGGTTATGAGTTTTTAAGTATAGACATGATTTACCACCACCGCCCCTGTGCAGACGCCAGCAACCTAATTTTGTCAGCAAAGAAATTTCTAAGGTGTACCACAAACAACTAACATTTTTTTTATTTTAAAAGGAGAGTAATTATCTTTGCCCCCCTTTTTATATGAAGCAAATCCATCCAGCTATTGTAGAAAAAAAGTGACTTAAATTTATAACCTAAAACGACTCATTCAAACAGGAAAAGCAGCCACTTCATAACTTCTCAGCATGTTCAGTAGAATCTTGCCAGAAAGAATAATGGTTTCACAAGCATTTGCTTGCCTTTTTTTCTGCATAATTCCTCACTATTTGAATGAAGAGATCAACAGAATCTTGGGTTTAACTGACTTTGCTTTTAAAGTGCCAGACACTGTTTAACAATCACTGTAAACAGGCAGAAATGAAATCGGAGCAACCCTTTCCTTATCCAGCAGGAAGGCTGACTTTTCCTCCTGTTTCCTCTTTATGGCATTTCACTTTGAACAATCCCATTATTTATTTTGGAAACATTTCCCTTTCCCTTCTTTTCTTTTTTTCTCAGTCTACCCCACATGATCACATACTTCTAGATGGTGTGATTATTAGGGGCATTTTAACATGTTAGAATTAATGATTCCATATTTCTCTCAAATATGAGATAATGCAAAGAATGTGGGGAAGAGAAAGTTCAAGGAAAGCCTTCAAGCCCAAACTATGAAATTAAATAAGCTGTGGCAATGGAGATCCGTGCATGTCCTCCAAGGAAAAAAATCACAACACAATAGCTTGAAATTGTATTTGCATTTCCCCAATTACTCTCTAATATGCGTATGATTAAAAAAAACGCATCATCATTGGGGTGGCAGAGACATGGAGCAAAGTGGTAACAATTAGCCACCTTACCAGCTGCTGATGTCCAAGAGTCTCTTGAAGAAACCACCCTCTCGTCTAGCAGTGTCCCATGGAGTGGTTTGAAGGGGCAGAAGGGTGACTAAGGCAAAGGCTTGAGTTCATTCTGTAGTGTAAGGCATGCAGAATGAAGCAGGGGAGAAAGGAACACTCTTTTTAACAGATGTGGCATCACCCCTCTGCCAATTACAGTGGTGCCTCGCTTTACGATTGCCCCGCATTACGACAAAACTGCATTACGATGATCTTTTTGCGATCGCAAAACGATGGTTTGAATGGGGGTTTTCGCTTTGTGGTGATCGGTTCCCTGCTTTGGGAACCGATTCTTCACAAAATGACGATTTTCCTCCAGCTGATCAGCGGTTTCAAAATGGCCACCGGGTAAATAAAATGGCTCCCAGCTGTTTTCTGGGACGGATTCCTCACTGTACAGGCACCGAAAATGGCTGCCCTATGGAGGATCTTCGCTGGACGGTGACTTTCCAGCCCATTGGAATGCATTGAAGGGGTTTCAATGCGTTTCAATGGGCTTTTTATTTTCGCATTATGACTTTTTTGTTCTACAGCGATTTCGCTGGAACGAATTAACATCGTAATGCGAGGCACCACTGTAATCTACTGGATGGCTTTTAGCTTGTCAGTTCTAGGAGAAGAGCTAGATGACTTTGCCCCACGGAGCATAATTGGGAACTCCCACATAGCTTACCTCACAAGGTTGTTGTAAGGATCTTAGGTAGGGTTGCCAGATACATGGGTACCAAAAGGAGGACATAGAAAGACAAAAAAGGAGGACAAAGGAGGACATATTGAATGTTTCATTTGAATTGTTCCAGATTAAACCCACAATCAATACAATTTTATTACAATTGCTGTCAATAAATGTCTCTTAGTGAACTGACCAAGAAAGAGTCATGTTAAAAAATAAAAATAAATTCAATTGAGGCTTTTTTT